TATATAACCAGGAATAGAGACGAAATGTCGTTTAATTTGTTTGAAAATTATTCTGCCAAATCATTACGGCGACAACTACGCTCCGCCAGCCCGAGTTCGAAACAATTGACTGGTGTCGTCACTTGTTTCACTTCAAATCGACCAGTTTAACTTGAGCTTTGCTATAATGGACGAAAATTACGTATTTAATATTTAATTACCGATAAAATGTGATTCCGTTTGTTGTGTAATTAGATGTTTTGCTCTTTTTCCCACACCACCAAATGGATCATCCACCCATTTTTAGAGATATTATCCTTATTACAATAAATACAGAATATTTTTGGAATATATGGAGACGTACACACAGGTCAGCAGTTGTTGGCGCTGTACTATTTCAGCTCTCTAATTTGTGATTTCAGCGCAAACTGAGTTCATATTTAAAAGTAATATAAGGCCCATTTACCTGATGGATGGATGGCCATTATTTCGTCTCTATTTCTGGTTCGATGGCTAATATTATATCATCTCAATTGTAGCAATGGCAAGATTTTGTATGTTTAGTATTTTGCTAAAAGTTAAGAAATAGGGGCTTATCAGAAGCTAGCCATTGAGTTATTTATACAACAACCTTTGCAATTTTTTGGTATTCTGTGGTTCAATGGCGAGTCGATGGCGTAAACTACTAATTATTATGCAACATAAAAAAATAAATTTAATTTAAAAACTAAATTGCTGATTAAACGAGACTAAGGGTCGTATTCCAGAACTCTACTCAATGCTCAAGTCAGGACTTGAGTATGATTCAAAGCACTAGAAATCATACTCAAGTCCCTGCCATTAGAGTCGTATTTCCAGTGTTTGAATTCATACTCAAGTCTGCTCAAATCCTGACTTGAGCATTGAGTACAGTTCTGGAATACGACATACATACTAATTAAAATCGTCATATACTTTCAAGTGCAAGTGCAAGGAATGGCTGCTTAATCAATAGAAGACATCATACTGTTGGTCGAAGGTGATGTAGGCTCTGTTATATCATTAGAAATAATAAAAGCAAAATTATAATTGAAATTAAAAATTTACTAACTCTATAATCTTCTAAATTCCATTCTCTGCTTGTTTATTCTATGTACACAGTGAAATACTCTTGCTGCTAAATGCAGTATGTTCGGTGGTCGGTGCGTATGTCATTTTTATGTTTTAAGGTTTGTTATTTATGTAGTAAACGTATATAGTGGGTGAGGTACTCTGCT